AAATTTGATCTATTACCAGAGTTATCGGGGATGATAGAAGCATAGGGAACATCATAGCGTAAATTTCATTGAAGTATATCTTCCGATCTGTGGGCTTTGCTATCCCATCTATTTCGTGAAGCTAGTTTATGATGAAGACATCAGGTCGAAGTTATCTACCTCTCTAACCTAACTGAACTACTGGTTAGGAAGGAGGATGACGCTGGCTTCCCAACTTGGATTATTTCTAAACCTATCATACGAGTGAAGATTTTTCCCTTTCTTTTTGATATTCGCTGTATTTTAGTTATCCTATCCCAGATTGCCGTTGTAAGGGTAGAACGCCTTGTGAAAATCTGAAAGTTAGACACAATAACGTGGTTTGGAATGAACGGTCAACACTTCAAACGCGTATCAATAGGCTTTCACGATAGTTGCAGAGATCTGATTTTGCACTCGGGCTATGTCTACTGATTAGTTAAGGTCACTTTATTTTGATTATCCCTAACCACTAGGGGGGATTTTCAATGGGGAAAAAAGGGAATAAAGCGAAGACCCAGAGAGCCTAGCTTTATATAGTTGTATTATTTCTTTTATTCCAACTTAATCGCTTCTAAGGCGATTGATTTTCCTCTCTGCCGAGCGCCAAAAACTGACCAGCTCGCCCAATCTATGTGGCAATTTAGGTTGCTAGCCATCCCTCGGTGAGGACCCTATTTCTTTCTAAATCCTCAACGTAGTCCTCAAGTCAAAGATTGCTATTTTTTATATAACAGTGCTTTATATTACCTTTCCTATCATCCGCAGTTACTTTGCTGGTCTAGAAGTCTTACTATAATAAGAGTACCTGCAATCATCTATTACTACTCTGCTTTCTCTCTTATATTAATCACAAAAGGATTATAAACACTTACACAAGCTCAAGACAGATCTAAATTTAACAACACGTTAAACTTCAAAAGGAAATTCTGTAAACTCAACAGAATCCACTTTCTATAAATTCCATCCAGTCAGATTTAGGTTGGCGGACTTCTCTTTGTTTCTTCGACGACATTACTCATCCACAGCAGCAGTTGTGAGCTAGATAAACGAAGAACAAAAAAGAAAGGAAAAAAACATACAACAGTGAGGATTCGCTGGTGGTCACCCACCCAACTACTAACTCACCGGCGTGTGGCTTATGTGCAGTCAGTAGTCCGGTGGGTGTCGCCCGGGTGAGTTTAGGGTGAGAATCGCGCGACCAGAGTGACATAGGGTGAGTGCGCTATAGACAGGGTGAGAATCGGGGTGAGAATCATCCGAGTCGCGCGACCGCCGCACTGACCCTCTTCTTGGCTGAGCTAGTAAAGTAAATCATTGGACTGTCTAGTTCCTCTTGAAACTCTCGGTGCCTTGGCATCTGCACGTTACTTGAACTGGAAGCGCAAAGAAGTTCGCTGATTCCTACCTCTCTATGGCTGAACGTTCGGGTTACCATTGGATAAGATTATCCCACGGTCAATCAGCTTATCATCACGTGACACCCGAGCTCATTCAGATCTCAGCCCCTTCCCTTCAACGACCGATATTCCAAGTATGCCGTCTGGTTTACACCATATGGATGATATCACTCCACCTGGGAGCTTCCTTAACCCTCCCCTCACGCCACCTCCGACCGAAAAGAAAAAATTGTCGAGAAGTGCTCAAGCAGTATTAGACTGTTTAGAACTTCATCGTGCAGGTCAAAGGCCAGCACAGCCTTGGTGGCGGCACCGGCTCGTTCAGGACGATTATACAGAAGTGTTGCGTGTGCTAGATGGTGACGAAATTCTTCGAGGTTACGTGGAAGACAAAGTAAGGTGAGTACGTCAATCTTTAGGTCTATTCAAAGCATCTTGTTCAGTTGTATTCTAGGCTCGACTACGACCCTTTCCGGTCCTGTGTGACTATCCGAATGCCAACTCCTCTCCATGACATTTTTTGTGCCAGGGTAGTGTCTGAAATTTCGACCCAATTGGGGAGATTTCAAAAGAGTGATAAACCCTTCGCTGATTTTGCGAGGAAGATAGATCATAGATCTACCACCCGAATTTGGTTACCGAACGATACAAAAAGTGGAGAGCAGACTCGTTCCGAACGGAACCCAGATGCATCATTCAAGCACGAGAAGGCAAAATACCCGGGTGTCATCATAGAAGTGTGCTATTCGCAAAAATTTCGCGCTGCTGCGGACTTGGCGGATGATTACATCCTGGACACTAATGGAAATGTGAAATTGGTGATTGCTCTCAACATCGAGTATAGAGGTTCTAAAAAAGCCACTCTATCAATTTGGCGACCAGAAGATATAATTGTGGATGGCGTGGAGGAACTTCGCGCTATCGCTAAGGTTGAAGAGCTGGTACATTCCCTTGCAATTGCAAAGTTAGAAGAATTAGATACTGACAGTTGCAGCCTTTTCGAACAGCATCTGGACACCCAGCTGATGAATCAGCCGAAGAACCTGCGCTGCAGCTGGCGCTTCGGGACTTTGGTCCCACGAGCATTTCACAGGAATACGCCGACCTCGATCAGATTATTATGATTTCATCGAGGCAGCTTTGTGACTTTCTTTCGTACGCCGAAGCAGAATACCAACAAGAAGTACTCGACGAAGGCATCGTTGATCCATTCCCCCCGGGCAAGAGAAAACGCCGTCGGCCTCAAACTCCCCCTGAAAACATAAGTTCGGAAGAAGAATTGACCGAAACGATGAAAGCAATCAAACGTGGGCGTCTTGCGCGAGATTCGTTCGGGAACAGAATCCGGGGACCCGAAATCTAAGCTGCATCTGGAGGCATGTATAAGGATGGAATAGGCATATCGGCCAGCTTCAAAACAAATACAAAACAATGTCGGAAATAGCCAAATGTAAAGATTAATATCACTATTAGGGGCTGCATACTTCATGACTCAGAGGCGTTTCTGCCATTAACAAGGCTTAGCGTACCTTGCAGCAATGAATTGGGAAATGGCATGAACGGCGCAAAAATGTTGCTCAGAGCGTTCGCAGATACCAACATCGATCGCAGCAACAGCGGAACATTCAGAGAGACAACAAATCCAGAAACGGAAAATTTCGAACAAGCTTGATTGCCTACAGCTTATGCCTGGTAGATTTCGAGGAGTAATCCGGACAATGATTTCAAGAACAGGGTTTTTAACAATTACAACGATGCACAATGGCCTTGGCTACAAGCCCCTACCACTGTTGAATGACTATACCCCGATTTCTCGGTACTACAATCCACTGAGTATTCAGTCCTGATATGTCTTGTGCGGTCTCGTTATTTGCTATTCATGAACCGCTGTTTCTGCAGATGTTTCCTCACTTGCTTTTTCGGAATGTTCCCGATTGTCATCTACACGTGAGACCGAAAGCAAAAAATAAATAAGCGTCAGCTATACTATTCAATCAAGCTTCAAAGTGTTAATCTAATTATCCGAGGTCTCTTCCTCACTCTCCAAAACCTTCATGACCCGATCATAGAAGCCTAGCTTTCCAACACAAGTGTACGCACCATACGAATAAGCTATGGCCTGGGTCCTCTTGCTGCCGAGGCAGTTTGAGAGAAGGCTATCGCTGAGCTCGGCTGATTTTACCATTTCGATGTATTCTCCTCGCTCACGCCATAATTCTCGTAGTTCCCCATCAAGGGGCTGCCCATCCTGGTCGTATTTTTGAGGCAGATCAAAGGAGATGGGCATGGCCGTAAGAAATTCCGGGAAAGCAAGAAGCTCGATAGGAACCGTACAAGCTCCTTCCCAATCGATGATTCCCGTTACGTCGAAGTTATTCTCATCCACCATGATGTTACTATGAAGAAAGTCATCATGGGCTAGAGGAAAAGGTCCTTCGTCACACAAGGACAGCTGGCTAGCTATCGATTTGATCTGTGATGGGAAATTCTCGATAATCGCCAGCATTCGTTCCGCTGGGATAGGTCCCCTCTGCATCATTCGTGTGATTGTCTCTTTATCCCACTTAAACTTGACGCTGTCGGCCCACGCCTCGAAAAATGCAGTTGCTGTGTTAAATGGACCACCGAGTCCTGGTAAAGGACCACACTCGTATTCTCCCTCCTGGGTACGGATAATCGCCCCAATCTTTGGGAGTCTTAAGGAAGTTAACTGGACCTATAGTTTATAAGTAAGCGGCAAAGTAAGGAGAAAGCCTATCAGGCGGGCTGAGGGAACGAACATGACATCTTGCGACGGAGCGGTAAAAGTTTTGTCGGTGTTGTTTAGGTATCACACCACGATGTGCTTCGTAGCCGCCAAGGGCATCCATAGCGACACTACCAGGGAGAACTTCCATTAGAATGAAAGCGGCGCCCACCGAATTCTTCTCGTCAAACTCATGCGCAAAAACTCGTGGCACTGGTAAGCTGGAATGCTCCTTGATGAATTTCATTGTTGCAACTTCATTTTCGAGTTTAGTGCTCATGGAAATGGAGCTGTTGCTTTGAATATGAACCCGGGCCGCCCAACGAGTCCCATCAGAGAATTCCAGTAGACGAACAATGTTGTTAAGCCCGCTAGCAACCTGGTCTAAAGCGATACATTCAAAATGACCATTGAGACCCGAAGCAATTCGACAGAGCTCACTCCATTGAGTTCGATTGAAACACTCGGTAGTTTGACTGTCACTCTTTTGCAGGAAATCTTGAACCGTAGCCCAAGAGGTTGATTCGATAGACATGGTCGTCTAGATAAAAACACTTGACCTAGTAGAGCTGATAGTCCTGCTGGGATACAGGAGTAATAAGAGCAGGATATCGTTTCTTTATAGACTTTTGTAGGTGGAATTACAAGAAGAACGAAAAGGTCAGAGGGAATTAGCGGTGTGACTCATCAACAAGACACTTCATCTTCACTGGCATACCGTATCATACCAAAAAAAAATCAAACAGGATGTGACAGGATGAATCAATCAACCTACGAGCGTTTTGCTCTGTGGGTGAGGTGTCAGGCTCCAGCACAAATTGTTTGATAACTGATGCAA